GCGGGAAGAATTTTGATCGCTTGGAATTGCAATTCCAAACTCAATCTGCCGCGGGGAAAAAAGATGCCAAAAACAAAACAAAAAAAAGTTGAATAAAGTAGTCATTTAAACGCTATTTTTCCGTCGGTTGTTTCTCGCACTCTCGCTTTGTTTTACCCTTTTACGCTCCGACTGGACTAGGTTCGGTTGATTTCCCGAAAATTTTGCCGGAACGCCACCTGAGAAAAGGAAAAACACAAGAAGCCGTAATTGATTTAATATAATTTAGCGTTATAGCTGCCAATTTAAAAAACGCTTTCGTGCGTTTAGTGCGCGATTTTTTCGCCGTCGTCAGTTGTTTGGGCGGTGGGTTTTTTTTTTAGATGGTCGCTTTTTTATTCGTCGCAATAAAAGAGATGAGTTGGTTCTTCGCGCTGGGAGCGCAATTTTATGGGCAAATTAAATTTCAATAATGCAGCATAATTATTCACTGGCTCTGCGTGCAGTTTTCAGGGGGTTTCGTTCCGCATAGTACGAGTGATGAGCCGAGAGAAACAAAGAGAGGAATTTTAAATGTTTCGCGCACGAAATGCGTACTTCCGCGTAAGGGGTGCTGATGATGTAGTGCTATATTTGTGGAAGAATCCTGGAGATCAGTGGATTTGTGCGAACAGGTATGACTTATAAAGATTATTTATTTGAAGTTCGCATGGAAAATAATGTGGTAAATGGAGCTTCAGCATCGATTTTTCCTTTTTTTTTGTTTAGAAATTTTAAAATCTGGTAAACCACTAGAGAGTAACAAATATAAGAAATAATAAATTCAGAAAATTGTTTCAACTTCAAAGTTTCAAATGTTTTCTTATTCTCAGGATTTTAATACATTCAGAGGAGCTCTTACTGTCTCTAACATGGAAAATCAAATTTTTAAATCTGTAAAGTGTGTCCCACATCAAATTGCAAAACGGAAAAAAACCCTGTTGAAAATTACCCATTGGGTATTTTCTCTTTAAAATTTGGGTAGAAGTAGTTAAGAGTATATTGTTCACACTGTATTTTAATCGCTGTCAGTTTTTCGAAAGTTGGAAAAAATGGCGTCACCCGAAAGGCAATGTCGCATAATGATTTTGCGCAAGCACCTGGAACTCTCTCATCGGGACATCGGAAAACAACTCGGAATCGTGCAGTCAACGGTGAGTCGTGTGATTAAACGTTACTACGAAACTCTGAGCATCGAACGGAAGGAGAAATGCGGTCAAAATGGATGTTCTATTAGTGATCAGGATCACAAGCGTGTCGTGAAAGCGTTTAAGCGGAATCTCAATGCTTCAGTCAGGGATGTGGCCAAAAAGTTGAATCTGTCCAAGTATTTCGTTCAGAGAGCCAAGGACCGGAAGGGACTGCATACGTACAACGTTCAGAAGGCTTCAAATCGTGAAGAACGGCAAAATACGGTGGGAAAGTCACGGACCCGGAAACTGTACACCCAGATGCTGACAAAGCCTCATAGTCTCATCATGGATGATGAGACTTACGTCAAGGCGGACTTCCAGCAGCTAGCCCTGTTCTTCACTGCCCAGCACAAGTTTAATGTTCCGGAGGAAGTAAGGAAGCAGAAACTTACAAAGTTTGCCTTGAAATACATGATTTGGCAAGCAATCTGCTCATGTGACAAACGGAGTGCGCCGTTCGTGACTACCGGGACTGTACCGTATGCGTGATAATGTTTGCACCATCGTACACATAAGGTTCCCGTTTCACCTGTGCATACAATGCCTTAATTTCCTTTGCATGCACGTAACCTATAGCTCATACCGTAGTAGGCTGTGTATAAAAGAAAATGATTTACTTAGTTTGACAGTTGCACCATGACGAAATGGCAGCGTATTCGTGATTTGTCCCACGCGCAAATGTCGCATAAAGACATTTCAATCGCCGTGGGAGTGCCCCGGTGGACCGTCCAAAGGGTTTTAGACCGAGAAAAGAAAAGACAACTATCCGCGAAGGTGGCCACAGGTCGTCCGAGGTCAGCTCGGGTTCCGAGGGTTATCGCTGCTATCAAAAGGAAGATTCGGGTGAATCCATTGCGTTCAATAAGGAAAATGGCAAAGGAACACGGGATCAGTGACTTTACGGCACGGAAGATCGTAAAGGAAGATTGCGGGGTGAAGTCAAGGGCACGGAAAAAAAACTTACATGATTACCAACCGCATCCGGGAGCTACGAGTCGAACGATGCAAGAAAATCTTGAACTTCCTTAAGCGAAAAAATCCGGTAATCCTGTTCACCGACGAGAGCATGTTTACCGTCGATCCCGTATCAAATTCCAGAACCGACCGGTATATTAGTTCTCTTCCGGTAAAAGACGTGGCCGACGAGCACAAGAACGTGTATCTGACCAAGCATCCTGCTAGCGTTATGGTGTTTGGATTGTTGGCTTCCGATGGCAAAAAAAATGGACCCGGTGTTCATTCCAGAAGGCGACAAGGTCAACACGGAGGCTTACATCGGGATTTTAAGTAATTATGTTCTTCCGTGAATCAAAGAACAGTACGGTCCGAAGTCAAATGTGATATTTCAACAAGATGGAGCTCCGTGACACACCTCGAACCCCACTCAGAAGTGGTTGCTGGAACATCTTCCGTTCTGGGCGAAGGATATGTGGCCGCCATCCAGCCCCGATTTTAATCCACTGGATTACTCAATATCGCACGTCATGAAGGCCAAGGCCTGTTCTAAACGCCACCCGAGTACAGCAAGCCTCAGACAAACATTGACCCATACCTGGATAGAAATGGATCCAGACTACTTTATTAGAACCTGCCATGCATTCCGGAAGCGTGTGGAGGCCGTAATTGCAGCAAGTGGAATCTCGATCGATGATTAACATAGTTTAAGACTCTGAGAAACATCCCCCCTTTGAATAAATAAATAAAAAACTGGAAAACGAATTTTTTTCAATTTTTTTTAATTTTGACATTGCTTAAGGGTGCTAACATTATCACGCATACGGTAAACGGGGAGAGGTAGAGGAGTGTCTACAGAAGCGTCTGCTTCCTCTGTTGAAGCAACACGTTCTTCTGACAACGATCTTCTGGCCAGATCTAGCTTCGTGCCACTATTCAAATATGTAATGTCATGGAGTGGTACGAAGCCAACGATGTTTCTTTCGTACCCAAGGACATGACCCCCCCCCCCCATTCCAACGCCCCAGAACTAAGGCTCATCGAAAAATACTGGGCTATAATGAAGCAGACACTACGGAAGCATCCCAAGGAGGTCAGATTTGACATGACATGAAGACATGAAGAAAAAGTGGGTTTTCGTACAGAAGAAGCTGTAGTTAGATGTTGAACATAACGTAATGAGTGAAGTTAAGTGTAAGGTGCGAGGTACCGTTATAGTATTGAAGTTGAATGAAATAAATAAGCTTACTAATAGCACCGTCGATATCAAATCAACCCAACATTCGTTATCGGGATTTAAACCGAGGATAATATCAGTTGGTGCTTACCGCCATAAGATCATTCTAGATTAGTAATCCAAAAAACAACGTACATATATACAATTTGTGACGTAGGTAATTGCATGTACGTACAGTGCCGTCAAACAGTTGTGTGTGCCCGATTACTTCACACTGGTAATCCAGTTCTACACTCTCAAAGCAAGGTTACGGTAAAATGAAAGTAAGACTAACGCAAAAATTTAGCTGAATTAAAGACATACCTCAAAATATCTGTACATCAAAAATCTGTCTATCTGTATATACAGATTCTTGTTTTAAAACCGCCAAAAAATCTGTATAAATACAGAATATTCTGTATTCTCACAACCACACATAAAAAAAAACTGTCAAGTTAAGTCTAGAGCAATACGTGAAAATGGTCTGCCACTAAATGTTAAGATAATTTAATGATTATTGAATAATTCAGAATCATTCTGAAGTGAATGCTATGTCAATTCTAAGAGAAATGCAGATTTTAATAGCTACAGCGACTTCTTATCAGAATTACAGAGAGTTTGAAGAGAATTGTAGGATCAATACGAATGATTGGAAGATAATTCATCTGGTCCAAAAATATGCTCTCCTCTGTGTAGAAACCAAGGGGTTGGTCACTCTACACAGTGTGCCAAAATTAAACTTGGGCACACCCGGGTGCAGTCATTGGAGATGTTTGGCACCCATGGTTACAATTTTTTATGATCTTTAAAGTTACTGGCAACACTGAAATTTTTCTGCGCCTGCGCAGTTTGTATGTGTCAAAATTTTTTATTGATGCCGCAATATAATCAAATTATTTACAAAACACAACCGTGAATCTCAACCAAGTCTCACCATGGATTCTCACAATCTTTACACCCGTGACGGCAGTCGCGTCCACATTTCTTCCTAGACGAAGAACAGCTGACAGCGGTATCTTGACCTGACCGACGTTTCAGGCCATGTCTACACGAACTAGCGATGCAGGCCCCACGGCTGCGGCTGCTTCCAATGTTGCTGGACCAGCACAAGAAACAGCAGCAGCAGCAGCAACTAAAGCAGCAGCAGCATTGGAAGCAGCCACAGCCATGGGAGCTGCATCGCTAATTCGTGTAGCTGTGGCCGACGCTGGAAATCTTGGGTCGGTCACGACAAACGGTGCTTGAGTTTTAATCGGAAAGTCAACAACCAAACAAAAACTATACCATCCTACCATTCGAACTGCTCGAATACATCTATGGCGGTGGCTGCTACACCAACCATTCCATCGTCCTACATATAATGTTGGAGGACCGTCTTGTCAAAATCTCAAATACCTAGTTCAACAAATTATTTTTACTCTCCTGCCTTTTTGCACTTCCAACTAACACAATAAGAAATTATAATAATACGAATCAGAACATTAACTACACAGAAAAAGGAAAATCCTTTCTTTCTTTTCTCAGAAAAAGAAGCTTTCGCTCTTTCCAAGCTTACGTGTTTTCGATGTTCTCGTTGCTCCACGCACCGTTCATAGACTTGGAGGAGGAAAAGCACAGCTTCATAAAGAACGGGAATTTTGTGCCTTTGTGACCCATCGCGCTGTGATGGCGTTCACCGCCAGGGCTTCACTCGGGAACTCGATCAATCCGAAGGAGGAACGTTCCGATTTCAGCGGGAACATTCGTACTTGCGACGGGTGGCAGTCCTTGGTAGTGAATGCAGTCAGAAGCAGATCCTCGGACATACCGGGTGGGGTATTGAAGAAGTGGAGAAGCTTGCTCGGGAATGGAAGCGATTGTTCTTGGAGGTACTGTACACGTTGAAGATGATAGAATTGTCCGGCAGAGTATACGGGTTGGTGGACTCTGACAAGTAGTTCTGCTTGGAAAATTCAATTTGAATTTTGCTACCATCATTTCCATCAATTCAATGTTGTTCAAGTGCTGGATGCTGCGTTCGACTGGTTCGACTGCGATGGCGTCTCCAATCTGGACCATGGCGGTACCGAGTCCGTAGACCATCATCACTGCGCCCTGTTGCTGTGCCGGTTGAATGAAGTTGGCTGGTCCGTTTCGGGTCATTGGGTCGGGCCCTTCGTCAGTCTGACGTGTGGTCCGGCCGGTGTTGGTTTCCAGTTTTCCGACGGATGATACTCGGGCGGAAAAAAATCGGTGCAAATCCGTTTCCTCCGCCGGCTCCCAGAAGGGCTGGTTGACGAATGATTAACGTTCGTTGTGCGGGGTCGGCCTTCCGCCGAAGATGGAAGGATCGTGTAGCAACGGAGCTCGTCGTAGTCTCAACTGGAGTCCGTGTCGTTTTTGAAAACATTGAAAAACAAAACAAATACAAGAGCTGTTAAAATAGGCATTATTCACAAGCTAACAAAAGTCAGTTCAATGTCTTCTTGGCACTGCCTGTACAGCTGCGGCACACTGAGGTACACTGAGAAAAATATTGGCACAAAATAAGTGTGTAGAGTGACCACCCCTTGGTAGAAAGCTGACTAATAGACTGATGAAAAATTTGAAATTTTCGCTCCACAGTGCTTAAACGGTTCCAAATTGGGCCCTGATTAGCCTCCCAAAATTTGAACTCATTTAGCGAGAAACTGACTTGGCACAAACCATTTGAAGTTTATATGGGAAATACTATGGAGAACCATAATTTCGATTCATATGTATCTCAAAATTTACCAGTTCACTCTACATTAAAAAATGATAACTGAACTTCTTGAAAATTTCACAGCTACAACTTTGTTGAAGACCAGTTTTCGATTAAATGTAAGGAACAAAAGTTATTAATGATTCAAGTCACTGATGTCTTATGATTATGCTCAATCATCTGTTCAGTAGGCAACATTGGTGTTTATGGCGAGAATAGAGGACAAAAACCATGGCTACTATGTCACACTGCAGAATACAGTGTTGCTCACAATACAGTTGCTTGATCTTGCCATAAGATTATCAATCTCTTAAACAATTAATAACTATTTAATTTGACGTTTGGCCGAAAAATGGTTTTCTGCAAAGTTGTAGCTGATGAAAATTCCCATAAGAATAGCAATAGAATTTGTTAACAGTACAATATGTAAAAAGGTTAAAAGACAATGAACAAAAAGTTTTGTTTTCCCATAGTAATCTCCATATAAACTTCAAATGGTTTCTGCCAAGTCAGTTTCTTATCAAATGAGTTTAAACTTCCGGAGGCTAATCAGGACCCGATTTGATACCGTTTGAACACTGTGGAGCGAAAATTTCAAATTTTGCATCAGTCTACTGACTATGCCATTTCAAATAGATACGTAGCGTCCTCTGGAAAGTTGCTTCTGATAATATTGTCTGAATATACCAACTCTTCTCATCATGTTTCGCAAGGTGTAAAATGATGAAAAGCTGGAAATCTTGGTATGGAAACTGTCCTAATTTAGCGAAATTTTCCGGAACACGTTTTGTAAATCGAGATTTCAAGATTTTGGAGATATGTGCTTCATGCAGGACTGAAGTACTAGACTATTCTTAATTGGAACTTATGTGAAATTGTCTTAATTTGAATTTTTAAAGATTATTATTTTTTTTAATTGTTGTGTTTGAAGTTGTTTTTCATGATTACAATTGCTGCAAATCAAACAATAACTACAATATTTTTGATTTTTCAATGTACAAAGTATCAAAGCCAATTGATTTCAAGGAACTTTGGCTGCGCGTACGACTAGACATGAGTTGGTTTCTAATAAAGAAAAATTAGTGTTTGAAAATTCATTGTTGATGATAAAAATCCCCAAGGATTGTAGAGGGGGTGAAATCCATTCCCTCTAGAAGGCACTGACAAGAAATGAGCTTTTCCAAATTTTTGGGAAGGTTCAGGATTCCAGGGACATATTAAAAATCCAGTGAGTTCTACTGCTAGACTTTTCATAAATACTGGTTGGTTGATGTTTCAAGAAATATTCCATAACAAGTTTATTTTTCAGCTGTGAGCATGATTCGAAATGTCCTACAAATGGATTTGATCCACCGACTATCGCAGTGATACTTATGTAAATGACAGACTTCCTTTATCTGCACCGTGAAACAGATCCCAACCGATCTGTAACACAACCTGGAGCGTGGGAAGTGCATATTATACCGAAACACATAATTCAAATGATTACACGTTACACCAGATCATGTCTTTCTCAGCCCAAAAAATAAAACACTCCAGCAACTGCAATCAAGCACCGTTAAAGTGCGTAAGCACCTCCCGGGCTCACAATCGGCAACGACGGCGTCACAACATTGTCTTTCACGATGTAAAACACCCCGCTAGGTCTACTGGCCAGGGAAGCCTTGTCTCACCATGTTACGTAAAGTCCAACTTTCGCTTCTGAACCACCTCAGTGAGCCCATAGAGTAGCTCGGTCGTCAGTCACTCGGTCGTCAGTCACTCGGTAGTGATTTAATTTCATAGCTAAGCAGGCAGGGTCGAGCCTCGCGACAGGGCACTCGCACGAGCGATCGCGTTCAGTTGCAATCTTCGAATGGACGGACATTCAGATGGACAGGAGAATCAACAACAACAACAACAACAGCAATGATCCGGCGGCGACCAGCTTGTATCCCAAAAACTCGATTCAATTCATTCATATATCACATAACATACGCATGGATTCCTTGTAGCTGCTGCTGCTGCTGTGGCAAATCGACGTGGTCAACCCCTAAAGGCCATTCTTCCCATCAATCTTGTGGTGGGAAAGTACCAAGAAGATAGCGAGGACAAGCTACCGGATGAATTTACTAAGCTTAAGATCGCATAGAAGGTATTCGGTTAGCCTTCCAGAAGGTAGTGACCTGAAAAGTTCCTCGACCGTACCAGGAATGGAACCCGCTACCTCCGGTTCTATGCCAACTTTAAAATTTGGCTTCATTACTCGAGTGAGGTTTCTTTCTCTACCCAACAATCAATCAACAGACGTTTATTAAAATCCCGCCAAGGTGTTTCCCTCGTACCGGTACTAGAGTACCATTATGGGCAAAACTGAGAGGCACTTTCCTGGAAGCTAGTGAGCGAACGTGAAACGAATAAAAGTGAAACTGCAACTTCCTGATTGCCGCCGCCCCGTCCGACAGCTCAGCTAACAGGTGCAGAGAGTACGAAGCCATGTCACATCAGCAGGGGCGAGTCAGTAGAACACGTACGGTGAGGTCACACACACGTCAGTGGCATTGGGGAAAGTTTCAGTTCGGAGCCAAAAAAGGTTGGAACGGTACCGTAGCGTGACAATATTTCATCGTTCGGTGACCGCTTCAAGAGCGACACACCAATAAAAAATGTGAACGGAAACCAGGCTGTCGTGTGTGTTTTAATAAGAAATTAATTGCCTCCGTAATGGGCATGAAGTGTTTGATTTGTGTATGGCATTTGCAAAATAAAATTTCGATAAGCGTGAGCTTGACGAAAGATTCAATAGTTAACGATTTCCGTCGATAAAAGTTTGCAGCTCAGCAGACTTCTGTCGAACTAGTAGACCAAGAGCAATAAATGTATAATGATGATAATTCAAGAAAAACCATCAAGGTACACCTCAAAGATCACCTCCAAAGTTGAATCTCCCAATCATGCCCCACCACCTTGTTGAGTTTATCAGTTGTCAACCCGTTGAGTTAATTACTACCCAATGGTTATTAATTATTATTGATATATCTTAATTTATTGGCTTCCCGTCTAAGGCGGGACCGGTTTCCAGTCAGTGCGCGGTGCGTGCTTCGTCCATCGCTATGCTCACCTTTTTCACACTGACTGCTAACAACGATTCATCGAAGCATCATCGTCGTAAAATTTCGAGATGACCATCATCGCACACCTTTCCAGAGTAGACGACGACGACGCAGCTCAGACAACCTCGCTGACAACCTTCTTCTTGGACGACGACGACGACAAATCCTGCGTGCGAGCGGACGATTGCACCTTGTCATCATGAGAAAAATGACACTCGTTTTGTACCAACAGCAACGATGAGAGCCTCAGCAAACGTGATCGCTATCAGATCGCGCTTTAGATCCCAGGAACTTTCCAGCCCTGGGCAAGGACTCCCAGCCCATCCGCCGGATCGTAAATACATTTTTCACACATTCTCGACCTTTTGCCCGTCGAATTGTGTTTTGCTTTTCGTTTTTTTTTTCGAGGATCTCGTCGTCGGTTCGTGGGGGTGTAATAAAGCGATCAAGATCGGAATCGGTAAAAATCTGTTATTTATACAAAATGCCATCGAAATGTCATGATGAATCTTCAGTTTCACACTTCAACGCACACGCATTTGCTGATTTTTTTTCGTCGCTCGCTCGCGATGTGGTCTTTCTCGGACCTCAAGGAATACACACGGGAAGAACCTTGCAAGGTGCGATGGAATCATGTTGATGAGGACTTGTACGGTCCCGTGGCAACAAAAGTGCCTAATTTATGTACTCGCGAGCGGATCGGTCGATCCATATTGATTGTTTTCAGAAGTATTTACTTGCGTTGAAACAAGGAGGGTATTGAGCATAAGCGGTGTAAGTTAGCTTTGGAAGGTAGGTACAATAAGAATTTATTTGAAAATCGTAAATTGGAGCTACTAAAAATCATTCCAATGAGCGTTGAAAGAGAAATAGAGCATTTCCAGCTCAAAACGATGAAAATAAGCAGAAGTTATGTAACGATGTGAATAAGGCAGAAGTTATGCCTTCGAATTTGGCTTCAATGGATTTTCCGCATAACTTTTGATGAAATAATCAAAACCAAAATTTTTGCCATGTTCATCTGTTCTCAAGCTGTTGCAAACTTTACAAATAGGGAATTATAAATAACAATTATTTACGACCTCTTCTGATTAATGAATGAAAAAAAAGTTGTGGTTGTCCAATATACAAAAGACGAACCCTGACTACTGGTACCTCTCAGATGCCATTTAACGCTAATTGGGTGTAAATACTATGACTAAAAAAATATCTCTGCATACTTTTATTTCAGATAAAAAAACAGGGCAACTTTTTGAAAAGTGATTGCAAATATAAAAAATAGAAAATTTTATAACACCATTATTTTTCAGACCGTTTTCGAATGTTAG